AGGTGTTCAAATACTTATGTTCAGCAGTGCAAGACAAATAAATTCTTTAAAAATCATACAATGTGATTTCCTGAAAATTTTTTTTAATTCTGTCTCTCAGAGTGGGAATGCACCTACAATGTGAATTTCAGACCCCTCCAAGATTTCTAAGTGGGAGAACTTGCAAAATCGCAGGGTGTTCAAATACTTCTGTTCCTCACTGTAGCTATGCTAGAGGAAAGATCAAGGATAATTAGTTTGTCAAAGTTTTGTTTTATTTTTATGTATCATTTTGACCTGAGTGTCAATTAAGCTGCTAATTAATTTCTCAATTAAACATATTGGTTAAAAAAAAAAAAAAAAGAAAAAGTGAAAATTGTGAAAAACAATTAAGTGTTTGATAACAGGTGAGATCGAAAGTTTGCTTTTGACCTTTCACATTTGTGGTGAAGTTAAAGTAATATTTGGCCAGAAGACGCTGTCAGAATAAAGTTCTTTAGGGGCACCCCATACCCAGGTGGTTACAGCATGACGCACCATGTACTTGGCAGCATACTATGTGTGTGTGTGTGTGACATTGTCGGGCCGGATCGAGTCCAACCATCAATACCTATCGCAGGACTCTCCACCCCCCCCCCCGCGCCGCGCTTCTGTCTGCCTCTTGGTGACACTTTAAAAAAATACAGTTCTTTAGCAACATATCAGATGTGTTTATGGTGTTTACTGTACTTGTGCAAAGATGGTGTAAGCAGAAAGCACAACAAGAAAGGATCTAGTGTGATGAGGTCTAGAGTAATATGATGAAGACTTGCTGCCTTACAAAATGTTAGTAGTACAGAGCACCTTATTGAGCTTGAGTGTATGGGCTAGATCTTATACGAATATTATTCAGAAAGCCTAGAGGTTGGTAGAGCTTAATACCAACAGCACTTGGTTCCCATGAATCATCTCTTCACCCCTTGGCCTGGCCTGTCCCGACCTCCCGCTTTAAATATGCGCCCACTTTGAATCATCAGTATCATCTCCTTTCAACAGTCAGGATGAGACTTGTTGCTTGACTGTGATGAATGACTTCACACAGCATACGTCATGTTTTGGGTAAATCCCCCCCCCCATCTAGCTGCCACTCAGATGAAAACAGCCCTGCTGAGGGTGAGGAAAGTGAAGCAGTCTCATGAGAAGGACACCCAGTCTTGGCCAAGAGTGTGCTTGCGAATATGAGGAAGATGAAAATCTCAGGGCCATGACACATTTCCTATTTGTTACTGGCTGCTATCTGCTCCCCTGCTACTTACTTTCTTCCATTTGTGCATGTGTTGTGTATGTGAAACCATGCATGAATCTCACCCAGACGACTGCTGTTGCGTGGCATTGCCATGAAGGATCCAAGGGTGCCTCCAATGACGCTGTGCGGCCGGCGGAGGGGGGGCTTCTTGAAGGAGCCAGTGTACTGGTGCAGGAAGGAGTGCATGCTGTGGGAGGTGGTGGGCCGCCCATTCCTCATGAAGGGCTCTAAAGCACAACAACAACTGTCAGCAGATGCTCCACAGTTGCATCATTGATCTTGAAGAACTTGCATCATGGACAAATATGGGGCAAAACTAAATACAAGTTTTTATTTTCTTAAACCTCTTATAGTGTGTTCTTCAGATGAAAAGCATGCTAAATGGCCAAGCTTTGTTTAAAACCACAGAACTTTATTTGGGATTTAAATCAAAATCCCAGTATTTCAAGAAATACCAACCCTCAGGCTCAATTAGAGAAAAATGGCTAAATAAATCGAACAGGACAGCAATTATTCTCCAGTTACCTAATGCTGCATAAAGTTAGGTTTGAATAACTATGAGTAGAGTAAAATGCTTTTTTTTCTGTTCTATTCTTTCTTGCTATTTAGAAAAGAAACTGAACAATTTAAGTCTTTCATTTTCTTTATACAATTTACTTCCTTTCTAAAAGTTACATAAGAAGAGCAATATCATTGTGGTACAGTCTCATATAAAGATGTTTCTACACAAGTTGTTATTGCTGGCTTCTTACAGCATTTGTTGATCCAAGGACTTGAGTTCATTCTATAGCTGTTATTATGAGTGCCTGAATACAGAACAACAGTCAAATGACTGAAATTGGAAACATTAAGAAAATGGAGGTCTGTCAGTTACAGCCAATCATTTTCATGTGTCTGTCACATCAGTACTTTATTAGAAACACCATAACAGGCAAAGAGAAGTCAAAGAAAGTGTGTTCTTGCCTGTCTGAATGTTATATGTTACTATATGTTACCTTGTCACTGCTCTCTGAGAGTGTGTACTTGTGTGATCAAGAAGCTCCCCTGTTCTGCCATTACATAATTTGACAGAGAACTTCTCACTGGAAGTCCATTATAGCTGTTAGAACACACACTCATCAGTGTCAGTGCTTCACAGTTTAATTACCAGAGACCCACCAAAACACTGAAACATCTGTGTGTCTACTGTATGTATGTGTGTGGTTTTAAATGCCTGATGTTGGACATGTAGAGGAAGATATTGCAAAAATCTGACTTGTCAGTCAAACTCGGAAAATTCCACATTTTGATACTTGCATAAACTGTTATGGGGTATTTTGCACAAATTTTGCCCATGTTTTTCCTATTAACTGTAGCTCTTTTATAAGGTATTTGTAAACAGATTTTAACCTGATTTTTAAAAGTGTTATGGTTTTGCTTCACTTCCTGGTTTGAGCTTTTATTTTGGTCAAGTCTTCCAGCCCCGTGTCACCTCACCTGCCCTAGCTTTAGCCTAGTACACATCACCGTTCATGGTTTGCACCTGTTGCTCATTATCTCCCAGTCTACAGCCCTTATATACACCTCCTCCTTTCCCTCAGTCCCTAGCTGGTCCATTCACTCTGTGAGCCCATGACGATGCTGACGACACTCACCTGGTTCACGATGCTCACCACACCTGGCTTTTCTGGTTCTGCTCTTCAGTACTGATGACACTGTCACCATTCCTGTCCAATCTTCTGCCTTTGTCTACTTACCTGTGAATTCCTGAATCCCCAGCGACACTGGCGAGTCTCCTGTCCAGCATTACGTGCTGTGAGTAGTGATGGCGAGATGAAGTTTCATGAAGCCTTGAACCCTTCCAACCAAGTGGTTCACAAAAGGGTTCATTTCTCAAGGCTTCATGTGGACACAAACCACCCTGCTGGTCAAAGACTGCAAGACAGGCAAATGTGGTTGTTGTCATTTTAACTGTATGTGATACACTCAACGTAGTCTTGGCACAGTATGGGCATGGGAATAATGGCTTCCATTTAACTATGCACGTTTCTCTTGTGAGCACAATAACCCATTCAATCCATGTGTTTTTGTCTCCCCTTATTAACGTGCTTGTTTGTAAATGATGTGCATAAGAGTTTCTTGGCTGATGCATTCTAATTGATGTTCCATGGTAATAGTACACATACCAAAGTGAACCTCCTCCTTTACATCAATATGCCATAATAATGACAGGGGGGCAATTATGTTTTCAGACGGTGGCAGTGTTAACAAGGAAGAGGAAAGTGAATGTGCTTGTGAACAGAGAAAGGGCAGTGAAGGTGCTTGTGCAACTGATGTAGGGGGACACTTTCCGTTTTTATTTAAAAACTGTATTTGTTCAACAGTGTTGGGGTTTAAGCGATTCCTTTAAGCGATTTTGGAAATGCGTAACTCACGAACGCTCACAACTCAAACACTACCCATGAATTGTGTGGAGATTCCTTGTGCTTTATATCTGTCAATACATTGCAGAAAAATTTGAAACACTTCCTGAACCACTACACACAGCAAGGCTTCAAACGTCATCGATGACGTTACTCAGCGTAAACAATACAAGCCTCGATATGTGCTTCACTAAACACTTCCTGGATTTCTCGACACGCTTCAAAGTATTGGCACAGTACCTCCCATCACTAGCTGTGAGCACCTGAATCGTCAGCAAAGCTGTCACACTCTTGTCCTGCACTATGTGCTGTGTGTGCCTGATCGAATTCTGTCAACACCTCTGCCTACTTGACTTACCTGCAAGTTCCTGAATCGTCAGCAACATTAATACACTTCAGACTGTGTGCCTGACCTTTAGAGCAGACCTTTTGCTTTAGTGAGATGGCGCTCCTCGGGGTGTGACATCGCAGTTCACTCGGAGTCAGGTTGTTTCTCTTTTGCTTATTTGTGCCGTGTTAAAGCAACAGTAAAGATCGCAAACTTTATTTATGACCAGGGGCCTATTTCAAGAAGGCGGTTTTGTCGAAACTCAGAGTTTGTTAACCCCGAAATGAGGGCAACTCGGAGTTTTCGGTTTCAGAAACGGAGGTAACTTAAACCCGTGAAGCGGGGTAAGTTAAACCCGTTTCACAAAGAGAGGTAATCTAAACTCAGAGTCAGTTACTAGGGCAAATTACTCTGTGAACCTAACCTGCTGGCGAGCAGGTTTTGTTCGGGAAACTCAGAGTTTCCTCCGGGTCTCCGCCCCTTTTTAAAGTGAAAGGTGTTTAATACCTCATTTAATCTTTCAGTACATTCATAGATTGCACACGTTTCCGTCACGCAGAGACCAAAATGGCGTGTCCATTCATAGAGGATCCTGTAGAGGAGGACGCTGTATTAATTCGCAGGGAATTGCATTTACGTCGGGAGAGGATATTGAGGCCACAAGTTGATTTTTTGTCATATCCCCATGTATTTTTATTTGAGCGGTACCGTTTTTCTAGAGAGTCCATAACATATATCAATAATCTTATCCACCCAAACATCAGACACATCCCCCATCGTGGCCGTGCTCTTACATCCAAGCAGATGCTTTGTGTTGCGTTACGATTTGTTGCAAACGGTAGTTTTCTTTATAACATCGGGGATGCAGAGCACATTAGTAAGGCCACAGTATGTAGAATAGTTCGGAAAGTGTGCCTCACCCTCAAGCGCTTTCTGTGAATTTTTGTTGTGTTTCCTGGGCACAAACCCCTCAGAGCCATTAAAGAGGAGTTTCACAGGATTGCAGGTTAGTGGTATTGAATTCGTTTCAGTAAGGCTAATCTGAAAAATGATGATCAGTTAATAACATCTTGCTGTGACCTCTGGAAATAAACTAATAATTAGAATCCCCTTCAGGATTTCCTAATGCGGTTGGATGCATTGATGGCACACATATTCCCATCAATACACCTACATGAAAATTAAAATTCAATTCTTATATTATTACATCAGTGTTGGGTAAATCTTAAAAAAGTATTTTGATTAATGTAATAACTACTCTCCATAAAATGTACTGGATTATTTATTAATCATTACTTTACAAATCCCATATCAACCACAATAGGAATTGTAAGAAAGGGTAGACATAAAACTGCACTTTTAATTCGTACAAAAATCGGTATTTTATGCAATTACTGAAGTTACTCATTAAATTATTAAAGAATTAAGAACCATTCCTTACTTTACAAGTGACAAATAATAACATTACTAACATTATTTAGTAATTACTTACACCGAACACTATATGATTAAAATGTAAACGTACGCATTGACTCGGGCAGCTATTTTCCCCCAAGCTAACTCTTTCTCTTTCGCCGCTGCAGCCGTGTTGTTTTTTTTTTT